CTAGATAGAAAGATAGACAGGTAGATATGAACATAAATGAAAAGTTATATATATATTATTGTGATAGATATGTACATATTATGATAGATATGCACATAAAAAATAAATAAATAAATAAATAATTTCTACGGGGAACTGGTTGAGGATATGAGACCTGATAAAAGAAATTGACGGTCTGAGCTACACAAGTTGCAGTTCGGAAGACAAATTATGTGAAAAAAAATACCATCTGGCAGAAAATTGTTACAAAAATAAGCCGGAGAAATTATTGGTAAATGAACACAAGTGAAACTCCTGTGGAACTTCACAATTCAGACTAACAGATATATATTAAACACACTTAATATGGATCATAAAAAAAATTATCAGGAATAGATGTGACACAGCGTACATAGCAGGAATAGAAGTGTTGAAAAGTTTGTGAAATACTCAGCTTGATTTACCGAAATCACAAACATTAAAACCACTTTCCAAAAAATCAGCTATTTTAAGCGCAACAAATATCCTATGGAATGTTCTTACCGCCCGAAGCCTTTTGAACCGACATAGAGTCAATTATATCCGGTGATTGAAAACCATAAACGTGCAAATTGCATTGATAATAATAACAATTGATTGCAGGTGTTAAGATGGAATGACTGAGCTAATTTCAACTCAGAACTAATTTCAACTTGATTTAAAATCAAAGTTATCAATTTCACTGAATTCCTAAACAAAATTCAATGAGTTGGTGTTCATTTTTTAATTTAGCATCAAAAATCCTTAGTAGATAAGATAATTCAGAATTCATTTTTTCTGCAAATTTCATTAATTAGTTCCGAGTTGAAATTAGTTCTGCACCCCGTTAAGATGTACATGTTTTGTTTTGGCAATTTAAGATGCATTCAGGTAAATATACTGTTCGGTACCATAGATTTGCAATTTTAGGAGTCATAAAAATTCATCTTCTAGCGGTTGACTCATTGTGTATATCTAATCACCAGTGAGATTAACGGGAGAGTATTATGTTTTAATGTAGAAAGGCTTATTGTTTTATGTTTGATACAGGCAAGGTGACAAGATGCTTAGGACAAAGGTCAATCGGTTACCATCTGAGCGGATTTTGTTACCGGACCTGAAGTTTCTGTTTTCATCTTACCCAGGCTTCAAGGTCATTCACTGCTTTTATGAAAAAGTCTCCTCCATATCCGGCATATTTGACCGTGATACAAGTTCCCGATATATACTTATCAGACTGGGTAAAACGAATGGCATAATAGCGTTTGATTATTTGCACCGTGGGGTCACCTGGTGTACAGCTCTCTCACTCAATAATAATAATAATAATAATAATAATAATAATGACCTATCTGTTATGTCTGTAGCTGGTATAGCCTTATCCGACTGGTTAGCAAGGTAGATATATTGAGATTTCGATAGAGAATTGCCTAAACTGTTAGTTGTATATAACTGCTTTCTTTGGTTCGATTATTAAAGATGCGTTCAAGCGAATGAATTCAGGTTTTAACGAGGACAACACTTCTTCGAACATTGTGGACTGGCGCTAGACAATCAGAAAGAACTGTACCAAATAAGAGAAAGCATAAAGCTTGAGGACTAGTTAGAACAGCAACACCTGAAATGGATATCAGTTTACGAATCGATACTGGAAAAAGCAATAAACGTGACTGGACATGAAAAAACGTATTTACCTTAAAAATGTTTTAATTGAAATATGTCATGAATTTCAAGTGAAAGTAGTACTGGCTGTTTAGTCAATAAATGACGAATGTTTCCTTATCAGGAAACGGTTAATATTGACATTAGAAATTAGAAATTAGATGAACAGAGACTACACTTTGATCTCAGCCCGGTGGCCATGGAGGGAAGAAAGTGAAATTGGAGTAATATTGGATGCTCGATCAAGGTATCCTGAATGTTTTCAATTAGGATGCAATTAATATTGCCATTAAAATATTAACATACCTCGGCTTCACAATGTTTTTACTTTCAGCATTTTCACTTCCAACAGCAGCAGCAGCAGCAGCAGCAAATAAAACCAGATTAATAATAGATAGATAGATAGATAAGACGAGAATGAGATAGATAAGGGACAGAAGGAATTACTTTTGCTTCGTACACATACATATACAATACGGATTGTGCTAATTGGGCTGACCATAAAAAGGTTCGTCTACTCCTCAGGAAATTAGGCACAGCAGAATATACTAATTTTGCTAACTATATTTTGCCTATGAAACCCAGCGACTTGAAATTTAAAGAGGCGGTTCAATCATTAACAGAACTCTTCAGTCCAAAAACATCACTGTTCCACAAGCGTTGGAAATGCATGAATCTCACCCACAAAGAAGAGTTAGATTATACTACTTTCACGAGTGTAGTCAATAGACACTGTGATGACTTTAAATTGGCAGAGTTAATAGCCAATAATTTTAAATGTTTGATATTTACCCAGGGTTTGATTTCAGTGAAAAGACGCCGAAATACGCCGTTGGCTACTCAGCAAGCTTGAAAGCAAGCCCGACGTTATTGCCGAAGATTGCCAACGTTTCGTGAGCGTCAGAGAGGATTCGAAAAACACCGAACAGTGTCGTGACTCACATTAAAGAAATACGCCAAAGAAAAATTTAAAAAATATGCCAACCAAAGAGTAAAGTTACTTTGCCTTCAAGACCATGTTTTCGTTTTGGTCAATTACATTGGTATAGAGATTGTCCTTTTAAACATAAAATTGTTTTAATTGGTATAAATTGGGGCACAAAAGTTCCCACTGCATAATTAAGAACAAGACAAGTGTTGTAAAAATTACCAAGTCTGATGAACCAGAAAGTCATGACATCAGGAAATATATTGAAGTGGAAATATTTAACAAAAATATAATGCTTAAGCTTGATTTGGGTTCAGACTTATCCATAATTAATTATCAAACATGGAAAAAACTGGATAAGTTGACTTTGTTAAGAATGAACTGAAGAGCTGAAAGTGTAACTGGCGATCCTATTAAGTTTATAGGTGAACTCATAACGAACGTGTCATTTAAAAGTAAGACTTTAAAACTGAAGGCACATTTTATGAAGAATATGAGTAATTTGTTAGGGACTGATTGGTTAGAACAGTTTTAACTTTGGGATATGCCTATAAATTCATTATGTCAAAATGTCGAAAATGTGAGTGACGAAGCAGAAAAGTTGAAAGGGGAACGTAAAAATAATTTACCGACGTTTTCAGTGGAGGACTAGGAAAATGAACAAAAATATCTGCTAAGTTTGAGTTAAAGCCAGACGTAAACCCAGTTTTTAAGAAAAAAAACGTAACATTCCATTTGCCACATTAAATCAAATTGACGAGGAGTTGAATTGTCTTGAGGAATTGGGAGTTCTGGGAAAGTTTGAATATAGTGAATGGGCATCTCCTACAGTTTATATTTAAAAAAAAGAGCAAAGAAATTTGTGTATGTGCTGACTTCTCTACAGGGCTGAACAGCACCCTAAAGGATCACCATTATCCCCTTCCAAGTCCAGAGGAGATATTTGCTAAGCTCAGTGGAAGAAAATATTTCTTTAAGATTGACTTAAGTAACGCATATCTACAAATACCCATGGACAAGGAATGCTTGAAGCTCCTTTGCATAAACACCCACAAGGGTTTATACAAATTTTAAGACTTCCATTTGGGGTTAAGGTCACTCCTTCCATTTTCTAACAGGTCATAGACACAATGTTAAATGGTTTGGATTTTGCAGTGGCCTATCTCGATGACATCCTAATGAAAAGTGAGAGCATCGAGGAACACAAATTGAACATTTGGCAGGTGTTCAGGAGAATCCAGGATAACGGATTTAGATTAAAAGATGGGAAATGTGAATATTTCTTAGAGAGGATTAAGTACTTCAGTCAAATGATTGACAAAGACAGAAGATGTCTTGACCCAGATAAAACAATGGCAATAAAGAATATGCCAGCACCAAAAAATGTGTCGGCTCTTCAAAGTTTTTTTAGGTCTTGCCAATTATTACAATGTTTTTGTACCAAGAATGCACAGTTTAAGAGCTCACGAGGACCAAAAGAAAAAGGAAATTCACGGAACCTTTAAAAGTTAACCCGAAAAAGGAAAAATATTGAATATCTTTCATGTCATACCATGTCTACAAAAAAAGGAAAAGAATGAGTAAAAAAAAAACAAAAACATCTTCTCACTTATGAACTTTAAATTACCGGAAAATCGCAATACGCATTGGATTATTGCAAATTATTATCATTTAAAAGAAAAAAAACAATTGTAAGCGTAAGTGGTTGTTTCTGGGGGTGGGGGTTATTTTTTTTTTTAAAGATTGAATAAAAAGTATTGGGTGGTAATTATAAAAAAGACTTCATACGGAGTCAGGCTGAAAAGGCGGGCGTGTTGTGGTGTTCTCTCTCTAAGAGTGTGTGTTAGACTCTTCCGCTTACTATAAGTTTAGTAGGAGAGAAGGAACAGTTCATTCGTTACACTCTCACTAGTTGTGTAATACTCTTATGGTGTACTTACTGTTTAATATACGATATGTGCAAACCTGGTTTTGTTATTACTTAACCATTTACTTGGTCACAACAGATAGATATAAAAATAAATGAAAAAGGTAGATAGATAAATCAAGTTCCGTATTTATAACAAAGTTACAAATCATGATTCACCATCAAAAACAAAGAAAATAATAAGAGTTAAGGAATGGTAATGCGCTTTCCTTATTAATATTAATCCCAAAACCCGTACATGATACAATTTAAGTCTTTTGCTCACAACATGAAAATGTATTTTTCGCATTTTTCTCTATTTATTTGCTCATTCGTTGCTTTTCTGAAAACTTTCGTCTTCCTAGACGCACTTTATGCATTTTAAATAATAAAAAAAAATTCAATTGGAAATGTTCCTTTATTCAATTTAGTGCTATTTAAAAAATAAGAGATATTGGCAGACGGGCGCCTACCATAGATCGATAGTAAACAGGTTTTGTCTTGTAG